TTAGATCGAATAGATGGTTGAACCATTGCAAAGGATTTCCCCAATTGACCCGTGGTCATCGATCCAGGTTTTGGGACAATATTTGAACTGACCACTAACGAGAGGTACGACAATTCTACACCATTTAATACTCCCAGCATTTCCATGCCCAATTGTTTTATCATCCAAATTAAAGGCTTGCTGGAAATCCCAACTTTCATCTGAACTCGATCACTATTGCCATCTAACATGCAAAAACGCAGCTATAACTTGAGTTTCCATTTTCCACCCTTCAATTATGGTTTATTCTTCATCGAATAAAACGAATATATGGCTCGTTTTGGAAGAAACTCCTTCACAGTTTCAATCACTCTTGTTCTCTTACTTTCAGTATCCTAAACTCTCCTAGCAACAAGGCCTTTGGGAGATGGAGATCAGCACTTAGATAAGGAAGATACTGTGCTTGAATCCCTCAGAGCCATAGTGCCTCCTTCGGGTCCTTCAAATGGAACCAACATACCCTCTAATCATGGCGGTACTGGTGGCCATTGCCCACCTATACAGCCCATGTTTACATTGCATTGCCCAATTTCTTAAACATCGATTGGAAACTGTAACAAGAAGTAGGGGTGTCAATGGACCGGTTTTGGATTGGACCCCATGCAAACCAAAATCAATTTGAACGGATTGGACTGATCAACAAGACATATTGAATTGGACCAGTCTAGACATAATGGTCCAAAGTATTTATTGGATTGGATTGGACCTGGTCCATCCATAATGAATTTATATTGGATTGAGCCAATATCCGATTCATTTATAAAAGGTAGAATATAAGTGTCAATAGACCAGGTTTGAGTTAGAACTAATCTATATTAAAACAAATTTGAACAGATTAGATGATTGAATTCAACATTATTGAATTGAACTGATCTAAAATGGTCCAAAATATTCATTAGATTGGATTGGACTTGACCCATTTATAATGGACTCACATTGAATTGGATTAGATTGGACCAAATCCAGTCCAATTGACACCCCTAACAGGAAGGGGTATTAACCTTAGCTGGCATAATCTTTCTTTGCTCTTGGATGAAATGGGCTCACCTTGAGGAGCAGCAAGCATAGTATTAGTTTTATGAAATTAGCATTTAGCAGAGGAATACAAATAACTTTATGAAATTACATTGCTTTTTTTTTTTTTCTTTAATTTTGTTCTGGGTGTGTTCTAGGAAATAGGAAATAAAACTTTGTTGTCTCATAAATCCGGGGACTGATGGATTATCATTTGTAGAGTATAAGCAATGATGTTAATCAAGTATACTTGGAGTGGAAAAAAAAGGTGTATATATATATATACTTAGATTGCTAGTACATTAATGTTGAGCTTGCAATGGCCATAAGACTGATTATTCTCTCTCTCTCCACATATCTAGAATTTTGATACGTTTTTTAGCGTTAATTTATTGTGAAGAAGGTTTATGGTAAGAGACTATACTAACCACAAAGTTTTAAAGTAATGGTTTTGTCCATTTAAATGTTTAGATGCACAAACATGCTCGAATTCTGGGTGAAAATGTTAGGATTTTGAGACCAAGTGTCCTCTTCATCACCTTTTGGGCACGAAAAATAATTGAGACTTGAGAGATCTCAGTTTTGTAAGGATTCTCAAGAGAGACTAATTCATCACCGAATTTGATAAATGGGAGTCTAGGATTCATTCAGCTCACTGTCCTCGTCAGTCACTCAAAGCAAAGCCACCCCCCCATCAGCTCTTGGTTATAAAGAAAGAGTGAAGACATGCTCTTTCAGAAGTCAATGGAACATCGATCCAACTTAACTGTGATAATTATGTACTTTATTCTAATATGCAGAAGGGTTGTCAATGCATGGTTAGAGACGATGCCAGATGCGTTAAGTGGTAAACCTGTTTTGATCCAACATATTCCTATTGGCCGGATTGGGCTTGGGTTAGCCTTTGTCAGATTTGGGTTGAGCCTTTTTCGCACTAGACCCGAAGCGTTAACATAGTGACAACCAAAAGTTGTAAGTCGTCAGTCATCACTATGAATTTATTGTGGTACCACTGGGGGCAAGTTGGGTAAGTCCATTTCATTTAGGGTTTTTTATACTTCAGTCCATTTAAGGTTTTTTATAGATCATTTAGGGCAAATTGGATAAGTTCATTACATTTAGGGTGGAGTAAAGATTTTTAGGAATGGATTGAATACTGCCTATAAATTGATGACAAATTTACGGACAGGATGCGATTTATAAGAGAGGGGCTACTGTAAATTAAGAGGGACTGTAATTCAGATTTCTGAGATAGATTACAGTCCACTTATCCCTTATAAATGAAAATTAAGTTATTTGAAATGTTAATTTAAACTAGAAAACCATTTAGAATAATTTGAATACATTACGTTACATATTTACATTACCTGTGTTGGTATGCACAAACATGTCAAAAATAAAAAGATTAAAATAACATTTTCAATGATATCGGTTAAAATAGAAGAAATACGATGATAGAGTGATTTGGGGTCGACACCTGCTATGAGCATAGCTGTCAATATCCTAGACCTTGACCAAAGAGTCTGGAATTTATTTGCTCAATGAAAAAAATAAGAATACATATTGGTAGTTCTATCTTCATAAGTTTCATGCAATTCTCAACTAAAGGTATCAATAGACCAGGTTTGAGTTTGAACCCTGTTCAAATCAAAATCAATTTAAATAGATTGGATGGATCAATAAGATATTAAATTGGACTATTCCAGACTTAATGATCAAAAATATTTATTGGATTAGAATGGACCTGATTATCTGCAATGGATTTATATTGGCCTAGTTCAGATTAAACCAATATCTGATCTATTGACAGAAGATAAGAGTATATATCTCAATGAAGCAGGTTTGAATTGGACCCAGTCTCAATTAAAATCAATTTGAACAGATTGGATACATAGTCCAGACATTATATTGGATGAGTCCAAATTAAATATTCATCAGATTGGATTCGATCTGGTCCATCTGTAATGAATTCATATATTGGACAGGTTTGAGTTGGACCAATATCCGGACCATTGATAACTCCGCACTCAATAACTCAAACCTCCCAAAGAAAAATAGAATGAAGAACAGTATTAGGCAGTGGGGTATTAGTGGAGTCACAGATGGTATCAAGACTTGTGGCTCTATGAGTTCAATGCTTTGACTCCCTCTCCTCGTGTTCGATCATGATAATAATAGGTGTGGGCTATTATCATTCCTCTCCCTGTTAAGCATATCGATCTCAAGAAGATTAAATAGATAAAACGGTACCTTCTGGCTGTTGGAGTGGTTAAGTTAAACATAGATGGAGCCTGTAGAGGTAATCTGGGTATAGGAGGAGGGATGAAATTATATTCTAAGAGGATAAAAGGAGATTTCATAAGTGGTTTAGCAAATTTCTAGGATACCTACACATCTCTTATATGCCCTTTGCGACTGTTTGAACTTTGAACCTATGCTTATGCTCCAATGCTTTAATTGTTGTTTTTCAAAGTGATAATTAACAAACTTTTAATGGATATCATGAATGGAGAAAGCTAGCTGCCCTCCCCGGTGGTTCATCCATTAATTATCGCCTTCAGGAGATTAGACAGAAAATGGCTTTAATATCTCTTTCTCTCATGTTTAAAGAGAGGCCAGCAAACCTGCAAATCCCTTGCTAACCAAGGCATTGAGCAAGAGAGGATTCTTTTACTTAAATATCTTTGAGTTGCAAAAGAATACCAAGAAATTAATTCACGATGGAGGACATACATGGTTTGCCCCGGATCTACAAGGTTGCTTGCTGTGAGAATTGTTGCTGGTTTGCCTACCTCTATGATTAGATTTTCTTAGTTGTTTGATCTTTGTGTGTGTGTATATATATATGAATGGCTAAGAGTCCGTTTGGTTCGCAGTGGGAATCAAGATCCAAATGATCTATTCCCATAGTTTGTTTGGTTCAAACAAGAATGGGAATAAGAATTAGAATAAGCAAGAATGGAATTTCATTAAGGGAGGGGGAGGGGATGACCATTCGGTTGGTGGCCATGGTAAGGCTACGGAGGTTGGTCAATTCTCCAAAAGTTCAGAGAAGATGACTGAAAAGAGAGAGAACGTGGGGAAGAGAGGAGAAGAGGGGAGAGAAGGGAGATTCCTCTTGTGAAAAACCCTAGGTCAAAGTTATATTGTATTGTCTTTCTTTTTGGGGAAGAATTATTCTCCTTTATATAGAGAGGACCTCAAGGCTATAAAGAGAAGATATTTCCTATTAGGATATGAGATCTTTATGTCATCTATTAAGGGAACACCATTGGGATTTTGCCACATGTCTAGCGAGATCCTATAAAGATAAAATTTCTTTTTGTCTGAGGATTTTCATAATACACGTGTGTTACTTCCTTCCGTGACCCTTTTAGAGTGACATCATCATTTGGCTTGCGTGTCCTCTTTAAGTATACAGAGTGTCTTGTCACACGTGTTGTTTAATGACACGTGTTTTTTTTAGTTGCTTCAAATCTACAATGAACTTGCGCTCGTCGCAGTTATGCGATAGTTTTAGTTTCATCGCATGTTCGCACAAGCCTAAAGTTCATCGCAACATATTTCAGGTCATGAGTTCATTGCAGGTGTGTGATGAGTTAAGGACTTATCACAGGCTTGTATTGGTTGTAACTACTATATACCTACACATTCCCTTATATGGGGAAATGCCATTACAACAGGAATGGGAATGGGATTCCGGTTCCACCCAACCAAACAGTTGGAATTGGAATAATCCATTCCAATTCTAATTCCAGACCCCTATTCCTGCAAACCAAACGGGGCCTAAATTTCTAGCAAAACAAGAGAAAAAAAAAGAAAACTATTGCAGATTAGAAGCATGCATCTTTTATTTATTGATAAGGGGTAAGGAGGAAGCAGTTTATTGGAGTTAATATGTAATAAAAGCAAGATTACATAACCAAAATCTGTAATAAGCCTAATAATTAATATTTCCTTCTGGTGAGGGAAACGATGACAGTAACAAGTTTAGCATCCTCCTTGAGCATGCGGTCGGCCAGGATCTCCCTCAATCTGCAGAATAATTTATCCATCAAAGCCTCCCCAAAGTGATTTGCAAGCAATGGTTCTACCACAGCTCTGAGATACCTGGCTATGTTTTGTGCATCTCTCAACTTGTTTGTTTCATTATCACCGAGGTTATCTTCTTGTTTCCAGTTTATCTCAAAAGCTTCTAGTCTATCAATGTCGAAGGATCCCTCTCTTTCTATCACAGACTTCATTTCTCTTGGAGATGGTGCATATATGGGCATATTAAATGTGTTCACTTTCTCCTCTTCTATTAATCCCTGCATAAAAAACCGAATAACATTGATAAAAGTTATTAAATAAATATCTACTACGCAGTGAAAATAATACCATATATCTTTGTCACAATTAATTAATTTTAATAGATAGAAGTGCTTTTGTCTTTGAAAACATGTGCCCGAATCCTCCTCCTGTTTAATAGATAGAAGTGTTTTTTTTTCCTATTATTAACAACAAGAGATCAAACTAAAATGGGATGTGCCCGAATCCTCCTCCTGTTTGATCTCTTCTTCTTCTTCTTCTTCTTCTTCTCATCTTCAAGGAATAAACCCCTTATTTATATATTCTTACCTGTGAAACCAAGTCATTGAGTGCTTGTCCCAACAGTTCCCACGAATAACCACCCTCTCTACTACAGGGATCTTCGCTCCTCCTACCTAGAAGAGTTAGGACCATACGCCCTCCGGGAACCACTTCTTCTGAACGAGATCCAAGGAACACAGAAAAATCTCTTTCAAATTGCTCCAAATATGCTTTAACAACGCTTGGAGGGCTTGTTTTCGCCAAGTAAATATTCCCCTTGTTTATCTCCGGCAACCCAGGAACCTGCAGTAGTCATATCTTCATGGTCAGCTTCCAAGCTTAACAATTAATTAATTTGTTGATAAACACAAGTGAGGATGTATGTGATCTCTCTCTCTCTCTATATATATTATAATAGAAACAAACAACTAGGTAAGGTGGGAGATGGGAGAGGCAAAGGGTCCTCTCACCCAATAGCTTGCATGAATCGTACGTTTATTTTTTTTCTTAATCATCATGTTTATTATTTTCAATTTGTATTCCTCGACATTCTTTTCTCTTATTTTTCTATCTAACCAAACATATATAGCTTTCACAGTAGTCTGATCACCTGAGACAGCCAATGCAAACAGTATGAAGAATGAATAAAGTGAAGACTCTGGCTTGCAAAAAGCCTGCCATAGAAAGAACCTGGAACTCCACATATGAAACATGGCCCGAAGTCATCATCATCACCTTTGCCTTGCATCAATTTCTTGTAGAAATCGGGCAAGGACCTGAAAATGGTGTTGAAGTCATTCCCTGGAAGGTCGTTCAGGAACACATTGAGCTCCGGGGTGGAACGACCCAGCTGGCAACATTTCTGGTGGACAACATTGATAAAGTGGGAGACCACCACCAAAGTGTTGGGTCCGGAGGAGCAACCCAAGTCAGCAAACCCAAGGCTCTTGGGCAAAGTGGTGGAACAGAGATGAAGTATGGCCTCCTCAGTTATGGGCTGAGTCATGGATATAGCCTTTCCCTACAGTACCACACAAATATTCAGTCTCTGTCTAGTTAAGAAGATAGAATATATATAATTAAGCTAGATATAGATGATGATCACTTGTTTTGATGAGCAAATTAAAGAAGGGAATAAGATAGTTGGATAAATATATATATATACCTGGATAGTTGAATTACAGGCATAACTGGTTTCTCCCATCCCTCCATTCATGCGGAGAACTTGAGCGACTTCCATGGCGTTGTGTGCTGTGATAGAACATTAATTGGGTGGTCCTCTCTATTTATGGCAGCTAGGGAAAGTCATATGTGAACATGGGATTTGCATTTCCTACAAACTCCTCTCTACTAATCCAATCAAACACTTCCAACTGTCCTTCATCGTGTGACAGAAGTCTTTTGGTCTGGCCGTCTGGGTCAATGGGTGTAACAACTGACTCCGGATCTCCTCACTGGAACTCTGCCTACGCCTATTCACAATACACTACCCTCCCTGAATTGGGTGTAACAACTGTCTCACACATTTGATACATGGTGGGTACATGGTGGGTCTTAGTCTTTAGAATGAGATGTACGGTATCAGATTATATTGGTAGAGGGTTGGAACATGTTTTATTGGTAAGAGATCCCAATTCTTTATTCTAGGCACGTTCGTCTGACCACGAGACCACTCAGAGGCCTAGAGGCAAAGTATAGTCTGTATAGACGTCATAAAACGGTTCTCAAGAATAAAATTGTGAATGGAACTTCTGAACTTGTAATATAGATCCGATCATCATGAGCCGGGTCAGGTTTTTGCAGCGTATCAACAGCATTACCTGCACCCTGACATGTCCAGGTCGTCTGATCCCAGGCCAGGCCGGGCTGCACATCCTGGATGACCCATGTCCATATGAATTAAAAAGATATTAACCCATTTTAATGAACTTTTGTTGATGAACAAATCCTTTTATGGAGGTTGGATATTTTTTTGGTACTCATATTCTTGGAGCTACAACACTATTCTCATATATACCTTTCACCCACCCAAACCCTGGTGGCAGCGGAACTTGATCCCGATCGAGCTACAAACTGCCGGAGATCTCACCAAACCAATTGAGCCACCATCATCAGTTGGTGGATTCCTTCCCTGGATCAGTTGCAGAGTTGCAGTTTCAGGCCTTCTCTTCATCATATATAGGTAAATCAAACATATCCGGGTCCATACCAGTATTCAGTAGGTGGTTTCTGGGCCCCACTTTTCTTAAAGTGAGAAATGACTTTTCCCAAGAAAACATGTTCTGTACTAATTTTCATCACTTTGTAAAAATTATATATTGGAGGGCTTACATGCATAACCCACCTGTAGGTGTGTAAATTCCACTCAACACCATTAATCCTTTAATGCCCAAAGCTTGATGAAATTAGGATTTGAAGTGATTGTACGTGAGGAGGGGGAAGGTATTAGCGCTCAAAATGGTTATACAAGAGAGTTTTAATTTATATGAATCAAACTTGCGTCTATATATATATATATATATATATATATATATAGCACAATATCATGACATCAGCAGAGGAAAGAATTTTCTTGTTGATAAAACTTGCGTCTGTATTGTTCAGAAAAGGGTTCAAATATATCAGGGCCCATAACAGAATTCGGTAGGTGGTTTCTGGGCCCCCACTTTTCTTAAAGTGAGAAATGACTTTTCCCAAGAATTAGAGGGCTGACATGCATAACCCACCTGTAGGTGTGTAATTCCAATTCCACAGTTGTTGATGCACAATTCCTTTTGTGCCCAAAACCTCATCTTGTATATACTTAGAGATATCAACCCATTTTGATGAAATTAAGACTTAAAAGTGGTTGAATGGAGGAGGGGGAAAGGTATTAGGGCTCAAAACGGTATACAAGAGAGTTTTAATTTACACGAATCAGACAAAATATATACCACAATATCATGACATCATCGGAGAAAAGAATTTTCTTGTTGATAACACTAGGATTTGTAGTGTTTAGAAAAGGAGTTGTTATTAGTTCCGTATCAACTGAAATTCAATTTGTGGTTCTACAAACCACAATTACAAAATTATATTTTCTATTTCAAAAATCAATTTTAATTTTTTATAGATGTTTTTTCAAAATAAAAATATTGATTTTGAAGCATCATAGGTGTTTTGTTATTGATTGTGATCAATTTTTGAACCACCATTTGGTTCGCAGTTCGCTTTTTCGACCCAATACATTATCAGCCTCTATCTGACTCACATGTATATAGGAGAGCAATTTATACCATACAGCTTTGTTGATATGACCAATTTTTTAACAATAACATACGATATGCTAATATATATTTTTAAAAATAATATATAACATGTAAAAAGTATATAATATGTGAAAATACTTATAATATGTTAAAAAGTATAAATAATTATATATTTTATCACCTTTATGAAATATATATTGCATTTTGTATTATATAGGAATATGGCCTAAGATATATAGAATCACTTGACTATGTTTGACCTTTTTGAACTATGTAGTTGTATTCTAAAGGTTCTCTTCCATGATACTCAGAAAAAATGGCAATTTTACTGGTTTTGAAACCATAATTTACTAATTCTATAACTAGCAATAAAAATATCCTTCAAAACACTGATTGTGTTCATAAATGATATGCATGAATACAACCACAAAAAGAACAACCCCTAATTGTCCAAAATTTGAAATTAGTCCCGTTTGTTTCACATTATTCTACTAAAGTACTAAGTATAGGAGACGATTGCAAATTGGGACAGAAGAAAYATAATCAGTACATTTTGTCAAAATTTATGAACAATAATAAACCGTCCACATAAACATAAAGTGCTTCTCCCAACTTGATCAATAACTATACAGTTAAAGAAAATTACAAATACTCTTATAAGATTTCTTGAGACGTTTCAAAAGAAAAAAAAAAAAAGATTTCTCGACTTTTTGTTGGGCATGAAATACGCTAGTCACTGTATATAGAAAAAAATGTTTCAAAACAATTTAATTCAATTTATTAAAAATAAAAATTATTGTTCCAATTTTTCATTAAGGCTCAGTTTGGAAGAAGTACAATATAAATATATGCAGTACAAATATATAAAAATAATACAAAATATAAGGTTTTATACTTTACAAATTTGTATTTGTACTCCTAAAACTCAGATTAAATGAATAATCTACTACAGCCTATTAAAAGATAACAAAATTTCGGGTCACACCCTCACAGTACCTTGGTCAACAAATCGTTGAACCGGGCAGTTAATCATTCGAATTATTTTGACCATTTTTTAATTTTTTTATTTTTTTGTCAGAATGGGCTGACCGTTCGACCCAGTAACCAGACCCCTGACCAGCCGGTCTCCGAATCCATTTTAAAAACCATGATTAGAACCTTAAAAGACTAAAACCTCTCTTAGGCTTTTAATAAATACTAAAACCTCTCATTTCTTTTAAAAAAGGATGAAAACCTTTATTAGCAATCGATTAACATCTATGTATAGATGGAATTCTTAAAACCCAATCTGGCCCCTTTATGATCGCTTTAATAACAAGAAAAAGAAAAATCCAATATTGCGTCGCTAGAATACAATATTGTGGTATTTCTTAATGTATGTCAATCGTAGCAACAAGAATCCCCATCTCATTGATCCACTGCATGCCTCCAATGAAAATCTCATTGAGGAACAGAAAAAAATCTAATCCTGGCAGCAGAGACAAAACAGCTAGAATTACAACAGGAAAAAAATCTAAGTCCAACAAAACACGTTCCAACCCTCTACTGATATAATCTTACACCGCACATCTCATATATGGAGGGTCTCACTTTTATGGTGGGTCCCAGGCTCATAGTGGGTTGTGCAGTGTTAGATAGAGGATTGGAACGTATTTTGTTGGGAGAAGATCTCAACTCGCATCCTAATGTATTGGCTCATTTTATAGCAAAAGGGCCAAGAGTTGTATTGTTGGGTTTTATTTTCAATGAATTCTCTTGTTTTAGCAAAAAAAAAATATAAGGTCATTTACTGAAATACCCCTATAGTTTCAGGGATTTATTAAAAGCTACCCTATTATTTATGTTATATTAAAATAATCCCTATAGTTTGCAACTGATTTACTTAATCACATTCTATTAAGAATCTGTCTAAAAAAGATAACTTGACCACCTATACTGAGTGGGAAATGTTTAAGGGAATGAACCTATGGTATTTTATTCCTAATTAAAGTAGCCATAGCACAATATTTGGTTTTCAGCAGAATGAAGAAGAAGGGAAAACAGTGCATCCCAAGTTATTAATTTGCAACAACATGTCTAACTTCTTCAAATAGAGAATAAAGTTGATTGAAATAAAAGTTGTTGCCCATGTTTTATTAGGGGCAAGAGTGACATTTTCATTTATATTTTGTGTAGATTAAATTGGTCCTGAAACACAATTTATATGAAACAAATGTAGAACTCACATGTAATAATATTAGTTTCTCGTAATCTAAGCATTATCAATAAAGTTTAGCCTTTGGCTTTTAGATAATAATAATGATAATAATAATAATAATAATAACAATAATTCGGGTTATGGTTAAGCTGGTTTTGGACGCCATGTGGCCGCCCTATTCTCTGGCCACATCAGTGCCGCGTCGTCTCCGTAGCCCAGCTTAACTCTATGGCTACGTTAGCACCGCATCACCTCCGTGGCCCCACCTTATCCCTTTAGTCATGTCGGCACGACATCATGAGGATAAGCACGACCAATACAAGAGAGCAGATGGGGACAACTCCATTGAGGATTAGGTCTTATCTCGAAGAACTCGGTGGTTAACCTTATCCTGACAACCCCAGAAGCCTCACCCGACCAAGACACGGATTTTCGGCTATAAAATGTATCTCTCGCTTAAGGTAAAGGATCTATCTCATAAATCCCATACCATTACTGTGCTTGGACCAGCACTACTCTCTAATTGCTCGACCCGACTACCCACCTTCTTCAACTGACTTGAGTGTTGGAGTATCTACCTGGGGATAACTCCCCGGGACTTTGACTTCTTTCATGGTTTCAGATTTCATTGCGCGGCTTCGTCCTTCCACCTCGACTCTGCCTAGCTAGCAAGGATCATCTAATTACAACCTCATTTCTTTCACCACCTAGGATCGAGCAACATCAAATTGGCGCCATTTATGGGAAATGCACAAAAAGCCTTTCTTGAAATCCTTTCTTCACCACGCAATCAAG